AAACAACATTACATATCACATGCATCACCCCGCTTACTAAGCTTCGGCTCACCCCGTTGTTATTTTTTATTTCGTGATAGAAAAATGACAAGTTGGTACGGATACGACGGGCTCCTCCTAACCGGCTCATGTGAGGCACCATATATTAGTTTTTATTTTGTCCGTAAATTTGGGGTATGGAGTTCGAGAGAAATTGAATATTGCCTATAATATTTTATTAATGTATTTAATTATGTGATGTAAATTTTATCTTAAGGAGTTATATACGTAATGTGTCGTTAAAGTTTTAAAAATATCATAAGAGAACTACTTAGAGTTTAGGGTATGTCGGCGTAATATGCTTCGTCTAGTACTCTACTTGGGTAGTAGAAATATGACCGGGGCGGGGCGCTACATTTCTTCATCCATAGAAACTCTTTACAAGCTTCGTAGCTATAATGACTTTTGCCTCAATAGTGAAAAGAGTAACACACTTTTACAAGTCTAGATTGTCAAGCCACAGCCTCCCCGCAAAAGTAATCAAATATCCGGATGTTGACTTACGAGAATCAATGTCTCATGTCATGTCCGAATCCGTATAGCCAATCAAGTCCGATTTTCTAGCACCATAAGACAACTTTAAATTGCTTATGCCTCCGAGGTATCACATGATCCACTTTACTCGCATTCCAATGCTCCTTTCCCGGATTTGACAAAAATCGCTAACTACCCTAACAACATGAGCAATATTAGGCCTTGTACATACCATGACATACATCAAACTCCCAACGACCTAAAGCATATAGAACTCTTTGTATCTCCTCATTCTCCTCATTTATAGAAGGACTTTGTTAGTCGCTTAGCTTAAAGTGGATTGCAAGAGGAGAGCTAACCACTTTAGCTTTGTCTATCTTGAATTTCGAAGTACCTTCTCAATGTACTTCTCTTGAGATAAGTACAATCTTTTAGTTGCTCGTCACGTTCAATGCGTATGCTTAAAATTTGTTTTGTCGACCCTAAGTTCTTTATGTCAAAGAACTTGTTCGATCGTTTCTTCGAGTCGCCTATCCATGAAGCATTCCCGTCAACAATTAAGATGTTATCTACATAAAGCAATAATATAATAAAGTCATCATCGAAAATTTTTACACATAAACACAATGATCCGATGTGGTTCTCTTATAGCATTGCTCCCCATAATCGAGTCAAACGTTTTTTACCATTGCCTAGGAGCTTGCTTCAAACCATAAAGACTTTTCTTTAATTTACACACTAGGTTTTCCTTGTCTTTCAACCGAAACCCCTCTAGCCGCTCTATATAGATTTTCTCTTCTAAGTCCCATGTAAAAAAGCCGTCTTGACATCCATCTCGTTCAACTTCCAAGTCAAGACTTGCCGCTAGGTCGAGAACAACTCGAATAGATGACATCTTCACCACTAGAGAAAATATATACTTAAAATCAACTTCTTTTTTCCGATTGAAACTCTTCACCACTAATTTTGCTTTGAATCTAGGATGTGTGGCATGTTTTTCATGTTTAATTCTAAACGGACACTCGTTTTTCAAAGCTTTTCTACCATTAGGCGATCTTACTAATTCAAAGGTATTGTTCTCGTGTAAAGACTTCATCTCATCATTCATGGCTTCAATCAACTTTTTTTTATTCTCATCTTCTATTGTTTCTTTGTAAGATTCGGGTTCTTCACTATCGATCAACAACACATAATCATCAATAGAGTACCTAGTAGAAGGTCTTCGATCTTTGTTAGATCATCCGAATGAGGTTTCGATGGAACATGTTCATCACCCCGTTTAACTATCCGATAATGTTCATCACTCGATACATCATCATGAATCTAACCGTTGTCTTATAGATTATTATCATTTTATGATCCCCGCTCAATATGTGAATCATCTTACACATCATGTTCAACTCGGATCAACTAAGTAATTTTTTTTTACTATACTCCAATAATACTGCTGCTTCCTTGTCATAACGAATATGCAAACAACAATGGTGTATAATCTAAGATTAAAGCATTCAAACAATCTGTGCCTGTTCTTGTCTATAACTTTTACAACTTGCACTTAATTCATCCACTATAATCACCATGTTTTTCTTTTCTTTTGTCCAAGTAGTATACATGCATGAAGGATGGATCGATGTTGGTGTAATCTAATTAGAACGGAGCTTTCAAGAAATGGTCCCATTTTAATTTGTGCAATGGGGATCGGTAACCCTAGCTTTCAGCAAAACTACGTACTAAGGTTATTTTACCTAGCCTTCTCCAATCTAATCAAATATAAAATTTTATAAAGAGAAAAGATTGTTTTGGACATGCATCTTATAACTTGTATAAGTTATAGAATGCAGGCATTACATTGAAATTAATTCATACATGCATTTATAATTGATCGCAAGTTGTAAATCTTGTCTAAAAGTAATTTTGAAAATTGAGATCATGGGATAATATTGAGATTCAGTTAATCCCAATTACTGAAAAAACAAAAAATGCAAATTCATTCTCAAAAGAGAGGCCTCACGGTTCAGCTTGTTGTCATTGAGATCGATCTTGTACTATCAATATCTACAAGTACAAGTTCAATTGTTGTCGTTTGTATTCTGTACTAAATTTGTAGTCACAAATGTACTCTTCCGCTTCTGTTGTCTTATATCCTTTGAATTTGTAGTACATATATTGATAATAAATAGGGCATATATATTACTAAAGCAATATATTGCTTTTACGTAACCATAAATTTAAGCTTTAATTTGAGTTATATAGATATGTGTTTCAATAGGTATATATATACCTATTCAAATTAAGAGGCAGGTGATACTAATAAATCTCCCCCATAATAATTTACTGAGATTCTAATTTACTTTTCACAAGTTCGTTCTACTTTATTCACAAAGAAGCAGCTAGCTTCTTTATTATTTGTTATCAGGCAGCTTAATTGCCTCCCTTATTCAATCAAAAACTCTTGACCAACTTTTCTTTTGCATTAATTGGGTCTCGTGCTAATTTTTTAAGTTCTGTTTATATCCATAGAACCCTCACGCAATTAGGTATTAATTCAAAGTTACACACATATCCATTATTTCCAATTTTTCCAATTATTGCATATATAAATTAATTTACCTTCAACTCGAACATTCTAAAGGATAATTAATACCTAATTAATGTCGTGGGGGACTGAGTGTGTATATATATATATATATATAGTGTAGATCCTTGTGGTGAAGTTGGTCTTGGTCTTTAAAACTCATTGACCTCGTAAATTAAGCAGTCAATGCTTATATAGCTAGCCAGCCAATGGGAATGAACAAAAACTCAAAGGGCAATTAAAGCAACAATAAAGCAATACAATGTGGATTGCCTCTTCAAATTCCCAAAGGTCATATTGGAAAAAAATAAAAAAAATAAAAAATAACTTGCCAAATTGTAAATGGATCCTAAAGAAGTGCATAGAGCATTTGTTTATTAAAGGATAACATGCTTACCTTGCTATAAAGAGTTGTCATTATCAGGCAAGAATATAGTTTAAAGGTCAGATGTTATTGTTTATTATCGTTAAAACAACCAATTTATATGGCGTCTATTTGAAACTATCGAATCCATAATGGAGACATATGTCGTGCATTGCCATACTCGTATAGCCGCGTATAGAATGTTTATGCATATGGTGCTGTGCTGACCTTGTAATTATCAAAAAAAAAAAAAAATGGAAACGTTGAGGTTTCTTTAGCCCATTAATCCATGATGGCATCCATATTAGCAGTGATAAGAGTTTCCAAAATGGCTAATACTAACCATTAGCTAGCTCATTGGCTTTTGTGTAAGCATGTTTATGATGCACTTTTAGTTTTGCTTGTACGTACGTAGTTTGGAGTAAAAAGTGAATATATATATATATATATATATATATATATATATATAGTGGATTCCTTGTACGCAGGGCATTGGATTTCCATTTGTGTAAACAAGTTATTCAAACTCAGTTTTGAGCCGAGAGAGATTTCTCTTTTTTCCCTTCGTATTTAATGGTAATAAGTATTTCGAATCATCTAGTGAGTGAATTAAAATTAAATATTTTTCTTGGATGATTTAAAAGATATATTTTTCATATCAACCTAAGAGGAATTTAATAAATTTCAATGGTTACTATTTTTAAGATATGAACTTAGAAAACTAAGAAAGAGAACATATCTAATTAACCAGTACCAAATCAATTTTATTAGAAGAAAGATAAGGAATTTTTTTCCTTTTAAATGAAATCATAGAAGTGCAAGAAGCAGTTCACACTCTTAGGAGAAAAAAGATAAAAAATAAAGGAATGGAACAAATTTCGGAAAAAAAAAACCTAAAAGCTTAGATTATTATTATTATTATTATTCTTTTTGTTGTTCTGCCACAGTAAGTAATTAGAAAGTTAAGAAATTAGTGTTAAGTGGTTTGTAGGATATGGGAGTTGTCTTATCATGACTGAATTTACCATCATTATAAAAATGAGGTTATTTTATTTTTCTCTTTTTTAAGTTTATACATTCTTGAAGGAGGATTTGAAACCCTAACCTTTTTACAAGCTCACTATAATTGAAAATCACGGAAATTGGAATTGTTCAAGCAACACTTTTAATAGCCAATTATTCTAAGTGTTTGAACTTTGGACGTGTCAAGATCATTTTTTTTTTCGTCCCTATCCGACTTGGAATGATTAAAAGGATTGCTTGACATACCTTGTTATATATGTGCAGCTTTTGCTTATTAATTAGTTTCTAAGTGAGGCCAAATCTCCTTTCCACAAACTCCATGTTCTATTTTATTTTCTCATTCTAATTTGCCCCTACCCAAAACATTGTTGCCTTGTTACATATATGCCAGAAACTAATCATTATATACTTTTATGTTGTCCTTCTGGCATAGATCATAGATGAGCACTCAAAATAGCAAAGTTCAAGAACTAAACTGTTTGAAAAAAATTTTCTTCTAATCAGCAGGCTTCCAGCAGTTGGAACATGGGACTTTGTTCTCAGTATAATTTACCGGCCCTTCAGGAAGGCTCAATTCCCAAGGTCAATGTTCCAGGTCCATCTAGTACACCTGCAGCAGTACCCATCCTCTCTTGCCATTTTGCTTCGCCTGCTTCTGCTCTTTATGCAACAGAAAGCTCCATGGGCCTTTCACATGATACTAGTAGCTTATCTACATCTTCTCCAGCAAGCGAAACTCCATATTCAGTTGTTCAGTCACAAGACAATATTCTTGATCTTCAACCATCTGTCAACTTGATCAATTTGCAAAAGAATCAAGATCCAAGAAGTACAGAAAACACATGCCGAGATTTGTATCAATATTCGCCGAGAAGTGACCTCTTTCCTCCTATCCTGCAGAAGTCAGCAAATAAATTAGCCACCTTGAATCAAAGCCAAATGCATGATATTGGTTTCAAGGATCATCAGAACCATGGAGTAAGTTTATTCAACATTCTCATTAATTTTTCTTTTTTTCTGTCATGTAAATTAGCACTAATCTTGATGCATCTTCTACTATTTATGCAGGTTGCTTACCATTCATTCAGTTCTCAATTTACAAAACCAACCTCTTACTTTCAGCCACAAAAGCATCCTGTATATTCTCCTTATGGCAAGAACTCTGCTACTAACAATTCAATTTCATCAGGAACAACGTTCAAAAGCAAAATGCGCCTTAGATGGACTCAAGATCTTCACATGCGATTTGTTGAATCAGTAAATCGACTTGGGGGTGCTGAAAGTAAGTGGAACATAATCGTTTTTAACAAGGAAGAAAATGATGAAGGAAAACTGATTGATAATTTTTTTGTTATTGTCATGTGTGTATATATAGAGGCTACTCCAAAGGGTATTCTGAAGCTAATGGACATTGATCGACTGACAATCTTCCATATTAAGAGTCACTTGCAGGTTTGAATTAATTTCAATTCTTCATGAATTTTATTTGTTTGATCTAGATCATAATTAACTCAATAATGTTAATTAAAAAAAAAAAATCTTTCGTAGAAATATCGCACAGCAACGTACATTCCGGAATCAAAAGAAGGTATATTCCCTTGAAACTCATCTTCGCCTCTTAAATTAATTTCTTTTGTGTGCTTGTGCTCCATTTTATGTTAAATAAAACACCGGCCACCAGAAACAACGCAACATAAATACATTATAAACTTTTGAGTTGTTGGATTTTTTTAGCATAGCTTTAAATAATTACGGCGACACTGTTTTACGATTAAAATTTTATAGTGGTTCTTCAGGGTTGAATCAAATTCATAACTTAACTGAATGCTTTAACCCTCAAGCTGTATGTAGAGATTTCTTGAAAATGAAGATTTCTTGCCTGTTTCATAGCCAGTGTTCAGGATCTTAACCTTATAAATAAGTCCTTGGAAAAGGGCAATTCTTCAAGTAATTAGTAAATGATTGAAATTGCATTAAGATTAAGCTGGTTTGATGGTACACTGTGATGCAACAACCAATTTCATTGATTATCAGACAGATGATAAGATTAATTATCTTTGCCTATAGATTGCATGACTATGCCATAAAGCACAGTAGAATACTTTCTTCTGCCTCCTAATGCACACATCTCATTTTTTGCCTTCGTTAAATGCATGATTCTTTGTGGCAACTTATTCTCTCTTCCTTTTATTTCATGAAAATATATTGATCAAAGTGACAATGAATATAAGAGGCTCTTCTGATTGCTGGAATATTTATCCACTTCTCTTTCTTTTGCACAATTAGTACTATTGTTATGGTTGTAAAGCACTAGTCGGCTTCTTTATTCCCTACTTCATTTCGAATGACAATTTACATTTCACCAAAAAATATCCTTTCTCATTAAATTAGCACGCATTATATATTTTTCATGTCTGCAGTTTGTGTTTCAAAAACAGGAAAATTGGAGAAAACTCTTACAAATGCAGTAACAAAGTTCGGCAGTAAAACGTTAGTATTTACATCCAATTATCCTAAATCCTTTACCAAAAAAATTTCCAATTAAAAAGGTTCTTTCAGAAACTTACAGTACTAGTTAAAGCCCGTAGGCTAATTTTTTTCTTATGTTAATCTGCAGAGGCATTCACATTGCCGAAGCATTGCAACTACAGCTCGACGTGCAGAGGAGCCTACATGAGCAGCTGGAGGTAGTTTGCATTTTGTTTTATACCATTTTCCCTTCATTTCTCAATGTTAAACAAACATTGATATGATATAACACCTAGAATTCTCTTGTTTAGATACAAAGAAATCTACAGTCTCGGATAGAAGAACAAGGGAGGCAGCTTAAACAGATGTTAGACCAGCAACTAAAAACAAGAAATACTTATCTTGCAAGCAATAGAAATAACTGAGATTCCATCAACCCATCAGAATATTTTGAAGACTTAAATGTTTCTGCTATAGAAGGAATAGAGGATACTCACTAACTTTCCAATCAAGTAAACAATAAGTTTACTGTCTTTGCAATGTAATCATCCAATCGTCAGACAGAGTGCTCTATATCAGTTTTTTATACAAACATAGTAATTAACACTGTTCAACAAATCATTAACTACAAAATATGGACAAGAGTCTGAAACTTCGTATGGCAACTTAGTTTTCTGGAGGCGGTATTCCATATCAGCCATTAGATTTTCAGGCTATCCATGACTGAAACACCTTGATTTGGATTGTAATTAAACGCATACAAACACTCTTCCGCCGTGACAGATTTATATAGAGGTGGAGTTTCGGAGTTGATAAATGATTTGGCAGGACCAACATTGATAAATAAGTTGGGATAGCAGAAGGTAACTACGGAAAGCCTCTCCTTAAATTGGTTTACCACAACTCTGTGCTCTGGTGCTTAATCTGTATATTCCATTGCTTATCACCTGCATGATTTAGTGAAACGCTAATTATATTACTATATATACTGATCGTATAAAATGAGTGGAGCATAAATAAATAAATAAAATCAATGTGATCAACCCTGATTAGTTTGGGACTGGTAATTAGTTCAGTTGAGTTTGAAAAAAGATTAGGCCCCGGTTCCTGTTCCGTCCAACATTATAATCTCTTTTCATATTGTAACCTTGTATCAATTGGAAATTATCAATGGGTCTGTAGTGTCGTTCAACGGTACTCTTGTAAAAGCAAAATGAGAGAGGTTTTAGATTCGAGCTCCCCCTTTATCAGTCCGTCACTAATAAATATACATTATATAAAGTAGAGTTGAGTTCAGTAATTACCTCTTTGAGATTTCCCATGTTTACAACAATGGCACCATTCATGGGTTCAACAAATACCCAATGATCATCTTTAGAACCTGGAATGCTGGTGTGTCACCACAATCAAGTAAGAGAGAAAAATTAGAGAGTTTTTGAACAAATCAGTAAGTGCAATTAGTCCTTAAAGAAATTGGGAGTTTAATTAGGTAAAATTTAGTTCCCATCAATTTGTGAAGTCACACCATGTATTTTCTCAACCAAACTGGATGGAAAACTAGTTTTAATTAACAAAAAGATCTGATTAAATCTCCAATTTTATTCAGAAACTATTTGCACCAAATAATTTGTCCAACGACTATTTTCATTTTGACTGGGTACTATGTCTATATATATATATAAAATGCTTAACTATCATACTATCGAAATGTCAAGTTATTAGCCGAGCATTCCTGGTGCAAGAATTATGGGGTACTACTTTTGGAAGGTTTTCAGGCCAGAATTCGAGTTGTCTGCTTTGAATTGGAATGGTTTCGAGGAAAAGCATGTCATTCCAGTCAAGCTTTTGTGTTTTAGAGGTAGCAAATACTTGACCATATCCTTCGAGATTTCCTGGTTCCTTTTCTTCTCTTTTAAATGAGCTTGCTTGCTCCTGTCTTTCAGCGATTCATCTGATGCTCCATGGTTTATTAACAGCAAAATTCTATGGCTACAGAAACTTTTGAAGACGCGTCGTCTGACATGAAGACGATCTGTCGCCAGCCTTCTTTCTTTCTTTATGTTTTCGTAATTTCTGTTGAGGTCGGGCCTGGTTCTCTCGGTCCAGGTGACCGGGCCTGCACCGCCCGCGAGCTAGGCCCGCATTACCTTTTTTTCCTTCCTCTCTTTTTCTCTTTTTCTGATTTTCTTTTGGTTTTGGCCTTTTCTTTTTTTAGTTTTTTCATTTCTATTATTAATAAATTATTTAATTTGATGTCTGCAAAGTTTATGGAATTGTTTTCCCCTTCAATTAAAATTTTAAATAAATTAAATATGATATACTTTTTCTTTTTGCTTAAAACACATCCATATTATCATATTAAATGTTTATCAAATAATATTTAATTATTAAAAATAAAAAAAATAATTTAATTATTTTGAACTTATTTAATTATTTTAAAATTTCACAACTTTAATGTGTCATATATATATATATATATATATATATATCGAGAATATGAATGATATCCCGAAATTTATTAAAAAGAACATGAAAAGAAATAAGGAGAGACAAACCAAGCTTAGCCTAATAAGAGAAAGGACACACACACACGTATATATTTTGAGAATAAGGATGATATTCTAAAATTTATTAAAAGGAACGTGGAAAGAAATAAGGAGGGACAAACTAGCTTAGCCTAATTAGAAGGAGGACAAATAAGCTTAAACCCCTTAAATGAAATTACAGTAAAGCTCCTTGAAATTTATAGACATACAACAAAGTTTCCAAGAGAAGAGGAAAACCCAACTATTAATACAGACAAGCAAAATTCATCTCCAAAGACCTATTCGTTATAGACAAACTTAATTAGGGCGAAAGTTATACAAGCTTAGTTTGTGATCCGATAGTGCAGCTCTGCAATTAATTGGAAGTTCTTGAGGTGAGAAAACAACAACATCGTACAGATGCTGAAAGGCTCAGTTTGCAAGCTTATCTGTGACCTTATTACTTTCCCTATGATTATATTAGAGGATCATATTAGCCTAAATTTTTCCCATCATTTTCTAAAAATATAAGTCAGTTGTCATGGGCAAGAACATGAACACATTAGCCCCTTATAACTAAGGAAGAGTCTGCTTGTATAATATCCATCCTTAAGTTATGCTTGACACAGATCTTGATGCCTTCAAGAAATGCCAAGGCTTCTCCTTTAGAGTTTGTACCAGGACCAAATAGGCTATAGAAAGCCATGAGAACGTTGCCATGCTCACGAAGAACACCTCCACTACAGACATTATTCTTTGATGCACCATCTATGTTTAATTTTAGCATATGCTTATCGGGGGATATTGTCATTTAATCCACCTGTCTTTGAAATACAGGGTAGGTTGTAGCTGGATACCCAAAACTAAGAAACATAATCTATCATGAAAGGAGAGTTGCTTCTTGGGAGAGTAAAGCATGGAGATATCATTTAGCCAATGTAGTACTTTGTACTTAATGTGGCATCCATTCATTTTCTCATCCTCGAAGACAACTTTGTTTCTAGCTAGCTAAATTTCCTATATAGTGCAGTTAAGTACTATCATATGGGAGAAGCATTTTTGGGAGAGGAAGTTACCTTTGGAAAGCCACATAGACATGAGCTGAAGCATTGAGGAGGAACGGGGAGGGACATCCAGTGCATCACCAAAGAAGTGCCAAAGGTTGTTTGCAATATCACTCTGTAAAAACAGGTGCTCCCTTGATTCTTCTTGAGCTAAAGAACAACACTGACACTTGGAAGCAATAGATATACGGCATGTTTGGACATTACACACCACAACAACGATATTATGCATAACCTTCCATACCAATACTTCAATCTTCCTTAGAGGCCATTTATTCCAAAAGGATCACCATCATTCAAATTTTGAAGCATGCAGCCTGACAGAGTCATGGTAATCTTTAGAGTTGAATCTTCTTGATTTAGAGTCCAAATAGCATGAACTATCTTCTATAGAGTCATCCAATACTAGTAGGTCTAGTTCATTTTGGACAGGCTAAGGTAGGGAATTATATATTAATGGGTTACGTTTAGCTTAAGCTAGAAAGATATTCAGAGAAGTTGTAGGCTGAGGGAGAATAGATAATGTCCATTTATCACTCCATAGTTTGATACTTACGCACCAGCCACCTATAGTGACCTATCTAGGAGAGTAGCTATATATGGCAGGAGTGATCTCCATACCAAAGATCCCTTGTTGAAAATGAAGGAGGCCAGGGAAGAGAGCTCTCCATATTTTGCACTTACAAAGGAGCTTCAGAGCGAATCATTCTTCAAGTAAGCCCATGCCAATTTTCCCTTTATGAACTTCACCACCTCTGCTATGTTTTTGATGCCCAAGCCACCCTCCTACACAGGATAGGAGATTTTTTTCTAACTCACCCAATGATGACGATTATCCTTGCCACTGTTCCAGAAAAAAATTGAGATAAAACTTTGAGTTATATTGATGGTGGTTTTAGGGATGGGCAACATGCCAATGAAATAGATGGGAATAAATGATAGCACGCTCTAGATCAATGTAACTTTCCCACCGATAGAAAATAATTTTCCTTTCCACCCAATTAGCTTTTCCTTAACTTTGGATTTCAAATGCGTAAAGTAGGCTATTCTGGGTCTGCCTTTGAAGAGAGGCATACCTAGATAAGTAATATGTTCTGTGGCCAAACGAAATCATGTCCATGAAGAAAGCAACCTTTTTCTATCGACTGAAAGTTTACTGCTACATAAAATGGAGCTTTTCCCGTGATTGATCATCTGACCACTAGTACAAGCGTATGAATGTAGTAAGAGCTTCACCCTATCTAGGTTTCTTTTACTTCCATTGCAAAAAAGTAGCAAGTCATCAACAAAGAAAAGATGGGAAACAAAGATGTTGTTTCGCCCAGTGTGGTAAGGAGCAAGGGAATGATTCACCATTCGAGCATTAAGGTGTCTGCTTAGGACGTCTTGGGCCAAGATGAAGAGTGCAGGAGATAATGGGTCTCCTTGGCGTACTCCGCGTAAGGTTTTGAAGAACCCAAACTTGTTTGAGTTCATGATCAGTGAATACCAGCTGTTGCTAATACACTTGTAGATGAGGTCACACTAGCCGGAGGAGAAGCCAAACTTCTTCAAGACTTTGAGGAGGAAGGGCCATTCCATTCGATCATAGGCCTTGGACATGTTTACTTTTAGTACCACATTCCCCCTAAAGACCTTTCTATCTATATCACTAAAGAGTTCTTAAGCTAGAGCTATACTTTCATGTATGGCTCTTCCCTTCACAAAACCAGATTGTTCCTTGGATATAAGATTGGGCAGCATACTGTTTAGTCTGGTGGTAATGATACAAGAAAGGATTTTATAAGAAAAATTGCACAGACTAATGGGCTGAAAGTCTGTGAAGCTGGAGGGCTGATGACATTTTGGAACTAGAACTATATTAGTGGCAGTAACCCCCTTTGGGATCTCCCTTCCCTTAAACACATCCAGAATAGCCAACACAACATCCTTGTATATAATGTCCCAACAAGTTTTGAAGAGACCCCGTGAAACCATCCAGACCTGGAGCACTGAGTTCCTCTAAATCAAATATAGTTGTTTTGATTTCTTCATTTGTGGAAATGGCCATAAGCTCTGAGTTCTGTTTATCCGTAACCAAATGAGGCACTACATCAAGGAAAGAGTCATCCATTGTCGTTGGTGCACTGGTGAAAATCTGCCGGAGAAAGTCAACGGCCGCATTGCCTATTTAAGTGTCATCAGCGCAGATGGAGCCGTCTTCGAGAGGAAGTTGGAACTTTGCTTTGGCTGCTTGGCTACGAAACATCAAATGCTTCACATTTATGATGATGTATAAAAAATAATTGATTCTTCCTTACTCCTTTTCGCTCCATAACTTAATTATTATTATTTTTTTAATTTTTTCATCAATTTTTTAGTTTTTGTTTTCTGAATTATTAAAAACTCCTCAAATTAATAATATTTATACTTTTCTATTAAACTTATAATTTTATTAAAAATTTAAAAATCAATGCATTCTACCATCTTATCAAAGTATAGTTTAAATCAGATGCATTAATAACTTAAAAATTATATCATATTCGGATTAGAATAAAATGCATTTAAGAAATAGACTAAAAATGATACTCTTATCGAGTATAAATACCTTTGCCTTGACATGACCATTATTTTGCTATTTAATACTCAAAGATATGATATTTATTTAAAATTGAAATAAATAAATACTTTGCCTTTACTATCTTACGTTTAATTTTTAATTAAAGAGATTGGAGGTGATTAAATTCGAACTTATAAGTTTTGGTCATATTAAATTTATTTCGACACAAATTCTTAAAATATTAAATTAGAGTTCATGAATGATTTTATATCACTTTTTAATATTCATATTACAATTTGGGGTAATTTATTCATTTTTGAGTTGATTGTCTAGATTTTGCACTTATAGAGTAAACTTTTACCATATCTTTTTGAAAGAAGCTTATTTTTCTAATGGATACAACATGAGTGTAATTTGAAGGGTTGATCTGATTTTCGTTTTTTTAAAAATGGTTACAAAGACGAGATTTTTTCTCTCTCGAAATGTTGTAAAGATAACAACAAAATGGTTGCCAAGCTATAGAGTCAGTAAAAAGATTAGTAATTTTCAAGTTCAGATGTAGTTTAGACAAGCCTAACCCCATGTGAGCGATTCATGCTAACATATACCAAACAGCATATCACTCATATCAGTAGATATTGTATAAATCGAATAACACAATAACCAGTAGCAAAATAATCAAATATAAATTGAGAACTGTAATGAAAACTAAACAAACGAAGATATTTTACAATTATAAAAGCCCAATTTGCAGACGCTAACACCTTTGACTTCAACCAGTTCTTGGCCTTTTTTCTTCCCGAACCAACCCATCTTTAATTTTTTGTGTTCCATTAGAAGTAATCAAAGGACAAATATGTGTTATAGGACTATGGGAGTCCTTTCTTAGGAATTGCTTGAACCACTTGACTGAGTTTTTGGGATAACGGTTTAAGCCATTTTTATAATCAACTTAGTAGAGGCCAAATCTCACGGCGTAACCACTTCCCCATTCGAATTTGTCCATAAATGACCAAGCAAAAAACCTCTTAGCGTCGACACCATGCTCACTGCAATAATTCAACCCCAATTAGATGAATTTGGTAACATGACAATAAATTTTTTTGTTACATACAGAGAGAATTTCACAATAATAATCTTTTGAAAGAAATTAAACCCATTTGATGGATCTTAAAACACGCTTAAGATGGTCTTTGTAAAAGTTTTTTCTTATACGATCATTGAGAGCTTCCTCTAGAGATGAAGCATTGTTGTTTGCATCATCAACGCCCCTGAGTAAATCAATATATTAAAATATTGAGAATTTTTTTCTCGCTAAAATAGTATTGAGAACATAAAAAATTAGCATAATATTGCACAATTATATATATGTCATACCATTCTCCCTAATGTAAATTATGGGATTTTCATATACATCTTTGGTGTAATTCAAAAACTTGCTAATTCTTTTTGGATAAATATAAAGTTATTTTACACCCGTATGTGAGCCTGTTGGAATTCTATTTCTCTATCTTATAAAATAAAATAACAAGTACAGTACAAGATTAATAAGTGATGAAATTTCATAAAATTGAGATTATGTTATTCAAGAAAAATGATATGAGTAAACAAATTAAAATATATGTCATTACCTGTCCGATTAGCACTAGCATCTGACATAAATCTAACGCTCTGAAAGTTAGCATCAATATTTTGAGCATAATATGTTGTATAGTAATTAAGTCCAAAAAAGTCATAAGATCCTTTCAGCATCTTAGATTCCTCACTAGTGAATTTTGGCAATCTTCCTCCAACAAAATCATGCATGTTACGTGGATAGTCATCATTGGTTACGGGATCCTTAACCCTGCAAAACAAATATGAAAGTATTATAATTTTTCTAATTTATTCAATACAAAATATGAATGTCTAATTGCGTTCAAAAGAATTAATAATTTCTAAAGTACTTTTGAATTTAATTCATTAAATACTAACCACCCAAGCATGAAGTCAAGGTTTCTTTTCGTTGCAATCTGATCTGCTTCACTACTTGAGTAAGGCTCAAACCAATGAGAAACAAGTGTTATTCCGATCTTTCCGCCTTGACATGCCTGATATTTTCCTTGTATACTTTTCTTGCTGCTGCATGAGCAAGCAATAAATGATGCCTGACTAGGGATAGCAGTGGACGGGTGCAAAATGGATATCCTACCCAGTCTGCCTATTAATTATTTTGATAAAATATATTTATGAGTAATAAGTTAAATATTAATAAAATAGTATTATTCATTTATGTTAATGGATAATTCATTCATGGATATGGATATTTTTTTTATTCTATTAATATCCATCTTTTACTCATTAATATAAAAAATACTAAAATAAAAAATCTTAAAATAAAAAAAAGAAAAAAGAAAAAAAGTATGTTCTTTTGTTTTTGATTGTCAATATTTCTCAAAAACCAAGTTGTCGGTTTTGATTTTCTTCAGACAAAAATTTAGAACAAATAATTTTTTTCAGTTTTTATTTTCAAGAATTTGAAAACGAAAAACCACAAATAATCCAAAATGATCCTCTTTTTTAAATATGTCAAGAACCGATCTGGTTGAAAACAAAAAAGAAGAAAGAAAAAATAATAATGTGGAGGCAGCAGGATAATCCTATTGCTCATCAATTTTCGAAGTGTAAATTCTTTTTGCGAAATTCAATCTTATTGAGTCGATAAAAACAAGATTGCAAAAAAAAAAAAAACTTTTGCAAGCCAGTGATGCACAGTCCACAGTGTTTTGCTGAAGAACCAAAATGGAAAATTGGATGTAGAAGGCAGTAGTAGGGAAACGATGGTGAACTTTTAAGGAAAGAGAGTCCATGTGATGAATCGTTATTCCTTTTGTACGGTGTGGATTCAGCTACAATCCTTTCTCAACAGTTTATATATATATAAAACCAATTACCTTTCCTTATCTTCATTTTAAACTGATTTGTAGAAAATAAAAAAATATAATAATTATTCAACTTAGTACATATTTATTTATGATAACAAAAATAATAATTGTTATTTTGTAATCTAATAAAAATTTTAATACATAAAAAGATTCTAGATAAAAAGAGTTTGTAATAAAAAAAAATCAGTAAAAAAAATTGAAAAAAAAATCTTCAATTTAAAGAAAAAAATTAGAAGGTAAATGGGTATGGATAAGATATTGGCAGAGTATGATATAATAGGCATGCACTGAATAAAGAAATAAGCAAATGATTTTTAATGGATAATGGATAAGATAATGAATATAGTATTTTTTAATGGGTAGGATAAGAAATTGACGTAATGGGCCAGATACCCGGCCCATTGCCATCCCTGTGCCTGACTGTATAAACTTCAGTGGCACCAGTGTTTTTGGGTTGGTGGGGATCATTCACAACGGTAGAAATTCTACCGGCCACCATGGTGCCCATGTCATAACCTTGAACGCTGAACATCCATGGCTCATTTAAAGTTATCCAGCTTTTCACTCGGTCACCAAAATTTTGGAAGCAAAGGTCCCCAAAGTCTCGGAAATCATTCCAGCAATTTAATTTTTTTTAGTTAGAAAATTTGTGAAAATATTATAATTATTGGGATAAGCTTTTGATGCTTCAAAAAGTTCGGTAACAATTTTTGTGAAATATCATCAATGGAAGGTTGTTACTTACACTATTTTAGGACTTAAGAAACCAACATATTTATCTTCTAAAGCTTGCGGAGTATCCCAGTGAGAAAAGGTAACGTAAGGCTGCATATCTATATATTAATAAGGATACTGTTCAAAAATAAAATTCAAAAGTAGATATGATTCTTATATATAGTTTTGAATATTCAAATAGTCTGTTGTAAAAAAACTTGTAGACTCCTATATACACTCGTCTCTTCTATTCGGATACAATTGAATCAATATAATAACTTTTTCAGAGCCCTAAAAGACTTAATCAGTCATTCTCCTTATTTTCTTTTCTTTTCCTTCTCTCCTTCCTACCTCACGTTCCTTCTTCTCCAGAATGTCTGACATCCCTCTTACAGCTTCATCCATTGCTCCTAGCTCTAGTTATGACGCCCCAGATCCATTCCCACAGTTCCAAATCTCCCAAATTCAAGCCAGTTATCTATTAAGCTTTTCTCTACCAACTACCTCCTATGGCATACCCAACTTTATCCCCTTCTGTGTGGCTACAACTTAGCTCATCACATTGATGGCTCTGTTGCTCCACCTCACGATACTAACTAGGTTCCAAACCCAGAATACCTTGCTTGGTTCCAAATAGATTAGCTTTTCCTCAGTTGGATTGCTTGTTTTCTTACAGAGCCCACCCTCTCTCAAATAGTGGGAGCAAAAACCGCTTGTGATGCATGGCAGAAACTTGCCAAAACTTATGCCTGTGGCTCTGCAACCCAAATATGCCAACTCAAATTCTCCTTGCACAACGTTGATCGCAAAAAGGATTCCATCTCTACCTACATGACTCGCCCCAAGATGATCTTTGACCAACTCTCGGCTCAAAATCATCCATTCACCGAAGATGTTTTCATTTCAACACATCCTAGGTGGTCTTGGCCCAGCATATCATTCTTTTGTTCACAGCATTGAAGCATGCTTTCAATCCATCTCCTTTGAGGATTTTTATAGCCTCTTGCTTAGTGAAGAGACCCAGCTAGCCAAAGATGCACCAGCCCTTGAACTCATGCCTCTTACTGCACATTCTACTAAATTTTCAACAGGCTACTAGAGAGACCAAAATCGTCGCCAGTTTGGGCCACGCAGTCATGGTCATTGCTCACAATCTACTTCCTCTCACAATGATATGGCTCATTTTAATACCTAAGGCCTGTTTCCACTACCCGCTGGTTCCTCAAATCACAACTCTAACCGTGGCCTAATCCAGCGCCTAAATTTTTATGGCTTTGGCCATGTATCCCGTAATTGCTCAAGCCCAAAAATCCACCATTCCACTCATTCTAGCAATCGTTCCCCAAACTCTTTAGTGGCATCCAATTCCTAGCTATGGATCTTGGACTCAGGTGTGATTCATCACTTAACTACTGACTTGGAGAACATCGATGTTTACTCTAAATGTTCTCGTCCTCAAGAAATTCAAATAGGTAATGGTTCTAAACTCCCTGTCTCTCATATTGGATCAAGCTTTGTATCTCTTGATAATAATTATTTTTCCTTGAAATCTATCTTACATGTTCCACAAGCTCATCATAACTTATTGTTTGTTTCTTCCTTCATAACATCTAACGGTGTTTATATTGAATTATTTCCTTCTTATTTTGTTATCAAAGATATTCAGAACAAGGGAGAGCTTAATCGCAAGTCATTAAAAAATGTTCATTTTTCTTTATTCCAATCTTCCACGCCATTGTCTGTTCTTGTTAATCTTGCATCCATATCAACTTGGCATGCTAGACTTGGCCATGCTTCCATTCGGACCATTAGGCGTGCCATACAGGATTCATCTATTTCGTTTTCTAATAAAATGCTTACTAGTTTATGTGATATTTGTTTTACTAGTAAGGCCAAGAAACTTCCATTTTCTAATTCTAGTTTTGAAGCTCAAGGTCCATTGGATCTAATTTGCTCTTATTTATGAGGTCTCTCTCCTATTTACTCTTTTGAAGGGACTCGGTTATTATGTTATATTTTTTGACCGCTTCAGCAAATATAGTTGAATTTTTTTATTCGTTTCAAATTAGAAGTTCTAAGCGTATTTATTAAATTTCTTCACCTTGTTGAAAAATTTTTAATCGCTCCATTAAAATGTTTAAGGTAGATTTGGGTGGCGAATATCAATCTTTGACTAAATATTTCACGACCATTGGGAGTGGGCCATGATCGATGTGAGAATTGAGAAAACCGTGAGGCCCACCTCGACTCAAGCAAGCCTCAAATACTTATACTATAATCATCAAGTTAAAAAATGAGACCTGATCGAAAATGGATGAATTTTAGATTAGTTAACGGATTGTTAAATGATGAATTTGTGAGAGGTGTAGAAAAATTTTTAGCTTTTGCTATTGAGCATCTTGAATGTATGGACGGAACAAAAATTAGGTGTCCTTGTAATTTCGGTAAGTGTTGAAATCAAAATTATGAAGACATGGACACGGTCAAATATCATTTGTGCCGTAAAAGTTTTGTGTCGGGATATTATAATTGGGTGCATCATGGTGAATTTGAAGCCTATATAACATCCGAGGATTCTAAGAGTCGGCATGTTTTAGGAAATTATTATATAGGTAAAGGTAGTTCTAGTACCCAAAACCCATATCAAAGTATGGTAATAGATGCAACCGGTTCATCCTTTGATCCGTCCTACGTGAAGGAGGTCCCTAATCATAGCGTTTAACTCTTTTACGATATGTTGAATGATCACATAGAAAGATTTAGCCTAGTTGTGATGAACATTGGCAATTGTCGGCAGTTGCTCGAATACTTAACCTAAAAGCCGAATATCATTTTCCAAAAAAAGTGTTTCGATCGGTTATGTGAGTTGATGAAGGAGTTGATGTCGGTTAATAATCGTATGACAAGTAAATTTTATGAAATAAAGAAGTTCGGTAAAGGGGATGGGTTTATTGGTGGAAAAAATTCATTGTTGTCATATTGGGTGTATGATTTATTAAAAGAAAGACAATGAACTAGATAAATGTAGATTTTATCAACATCCTCGATATCGAAGTTCTTGTCGAGGATCAAGAAGAGGAAGACTTATTCCAAATAAGAAAATGTACTACTTTCCTCTAACCTTACGTCTACAACGATTGTATGCATCGAATGCAACGAGTGAGCACATGATGTGGCATGATGAACATGGGGGAGATGATATATGAGTAATGCGTCATCCTTTTGATTCGAAAAGTTTCAATTAGATTAATCTTTCTTTTGCGAGTTGAAATAAGGAATGTTCGTTTAGGAGTGTGCACCGATGGGTTTCAACCATTTGATCAATCCGGTACGGAATATTCCTCGTGGTCGGTCATTGTGACTCCATACAATTTTCCACCATAGAAGTCTATGAAGGAGGAATATATATTCCTAAAGTGATTATTCCGGGTCTAATAAATCTAAAACATAAGTTGCATATTTACTTGTAGCCTTTCATATCCGAGCTTATCCGAGTTATAGGAGGTAGTCTGTAGTGACTTATGATGTGTACCGTAAGCGAAATTTTTATTGAGAGTCTGTAGTTATTTGAACTATCGGTGACTTTCTTATATATTCAATGTTTTCCGATTGGAGTAATGTAGCAAAACAAGCTTATCCTTACTCGTATGAAAAAATCAAATGCTTTCTCTTTTCCAAATGAAAGGAAGACCTCCTAGTTTGATAGCAATCGAAAGTTTTTTTTCTCATAATCATCCATATAAAGGAAACAAGAAAGCATTCACCGTCAACAAAGTTGTTAAATTTGGTCATCCTCTAATCCGATCCGAAACGGAGATGTTACATCCGGTCGAGCACCGAGGGTTGTTGAAGGTAATAGAAGATGGTGTAGATGATCATAATAGTAGAATCTCTTAGATGTTTGGATGGAGGAAGATGAGTATTTTTTAAGATTTGCCTTACTGGAGTACAAATCTCATTCGGCATAATTTAGATGTCATGCATATTGAGAAAAATGTTTTTAACATAATCATGAATGTGACGAGAAAAACTAATGATAAGTCAACTCTAGGGAAGACTTAAAATACCGGAATTAGCAAAGGATAATACGTCCGAAAAGTGTCTTAAAGCTCGCATTTACTCTATCGAAATAATTAAAAAAAAAAGATTTCTTGAATGAATAAAATAACTCGGGTTCCTCGATTGATATGTTTCAAGTCTAGCTAGATCCGTTGATTTACAGACATGACAAGCGTTATGGGATGAAAAGTCATGATCGTCACGTCTTTATGCGGTGTTTACTTCTAATTGCATTTCGAGAGTTTTTATCGAGAAATGTTTGGCAATTACTTACGAGTTGAGTTTATTTTTCAAGCAATTGACTTCTATAATTATAAAGCAAGAGGATATGTTGTAACTTAATGATGAGATACCCATCATTTTGTGCAAACTAGAATGTATATTTCCACCTAGGTTTTTTGACTCCATGGAACATCTTTCAATTCATCTATCGTATGAGGCATCTATTACGGGACTCGTGCAATATCGATGGATGTATCCATTTGAAAGGTATTGACATTCAATTTAAAAGTAAAATTAAATAAATTTCTTACTTTTGAACGTTGAAATTATTCATATTTGCGGAGTATCTGCGAAAGCTAAAAAATAATGTTAAGAATAAAGCTAAAGTGGAAAGATCAATATACAATATATATTTGATCAAAGAAGCCTCTCTATTTTGCTCGTATTATTTTGAGCCTCATGTGCATACAAGGCATCAAAAAATATCTCGTAATGTTGAATTCAACAATGAAGAAGAAAACCACATTGAAGGGATGATATCTATATTCAAACAACCAGATCAATAAATTAGTCGATACGAAATAAGAAAATTGACACAACTAGAACATAAAGCGACCCACTTAATATATATTGTTGAATTGTGAAGAAGTTACACCTTACATTGAGTGAGTTTAACCTATTTATTACATTTAATAATTAATATTAGGAAGATAGTAGAGACTAACTCATGTTTCTTAATAATTCTCTTGTCTATAGTGGAATGCAATAGAATAATCCATTCATGTCCAAGAATGAATCTAATGCTTTAATTGAAAATGAGTTTGCCTTTTGGTTTAATCAATATGTAAGTATGATCATTTTATATGTTTATTTTGTTGATAGTATTAATAAAAAGATAACTAAACTTAGAGGTGATTTTATGTTTAACTTATAGATACAAAATGCACAATCAATTTATATGAAAGACCAGCTTCTTGAAAGATCTCTCGTAAGATCCATTGCTAACTTTCGGATCATATAGTGGTTATTTTATTAATAGGTATAGGTTCAACACACTTGAGGGATCTTCAAAAATAAGGTCTTTCAATAGTGATGTATGCGTTAAAGGAAGTAATCGTAGCTCG